TTTTAGCCAAGAAACAGAGGGGTGAGTTACAAGATTCCCTTACAATTAATCGCGGGGTTGCACTTTAGTTACCACATCATTTCCTAAGTCCTATGTTACAACCAGTGGTCGCTGTGATTCCCGTTTGCGGGACCTCACAGGCTTTAGCCAGAGACAGAGCGGTTCATTGTAATAAGATAAGGAAAGGACAGGTGGCCCAGTGATCAGGTGCCAGACTGCCTGCTTTAGAGCTGAGCTGAAGCCTAGTGTTTGTCTGCAACGGCTCTCTTAGATTCTCTCCACAGTAAACACTACAATAACGCAGAATTGAGAGAGGAGTCTGGTCAACCTCTCACAGGTAATGAATTATGCGAGAAAAATGTGGAGCTATTGCTGGAGACTCATTTACAACACACAGCACCTGCTATAGGACTACCACTAGCAAAATTGTCAAAATGTAATATATTTCCGATGTTAGCACACAGCAGGATATTTTTAAAGGGTTACACCTTTCAGTCTTGGACAGTCTTAACATTAGCAACTTTTCCATAAGAGAAACACCAAATATTGGATAAAAAGGTAAATACATTCCCTAATAGTACATTGAAATTGACAGATCAGCATGACTCTTACCTTGCAGTTGTTTAAACCTCCCTTCCAGGATGTTGGAATATTGCACCTGATTTACAAATGCTGCTGGGGACAAGCAGGGCTCTCTGTCCCTGCGTTCATACTCCATGGCTTTTTTTCAGGATCTCTCTCTCAAGTATTCCTCTCAGATACAGAGTGAATGGGAGTTATCCTGCATAGCACAGCAAAAGCGACCTTTCCCGCTCCACAAAACTCCTTAAGAGGGTTTTCCAGAAAATAAAATGTTGTATATCCAAAATGCCTTGGTTTGTCCTCCTGTTTTTGATTCCCTCAATGCTGTGCCTCAAGCACAACTCAAGCTTGAAAATGTTGCCGCCTGTTCTTCTCTTCTTCTACTGTAGGTCCCACCTTGTCCAATGAAAATACAGCAGTGTAACGGTGGAGGGTTTTTTCTAAAGAATCATTTAAAATAAAATGTTCTCTTGTTTCACCTCCTCCTGTGAAGAATTTCACCACACATGTGACCTCTAAGCAAAGTAAAAACGTCTGGTTACACTCCCTTGTGGTTCAAGGCTGGCTATCCCTTCCCTCCAAACTCTGAACATGCATTTGCTGGAGCAGAGCAGGCTAACCGGCCGCGGTCGGATAGCTGTGTAAACAAAGCCTGCTGTGCTGTCTGAAAACTGTGTCATTTGCACAAGGTGTGTTTGAGGGAGGAGCACAGAGGAGGAACACAGTGCTGAAGTGGAGAGGGAGGCGGTGTGGAGGTGGACTAAACCATTAGAAGTCTTTGCCCAGTGTAGCTTGAGGTGGATTATGTAACGCCACCTTAATTCCAGAGAGCAGCGGGGTGTGGCCTGCCAAGAAGGTACATCACGAAAGGATCCATCCTCTTATCCTGCTGTCTTGCTATGTGGTTCTCATTTCTATCACTCTCTGACACAAGATTACATTTGCCTTGTTCTGTTTGCGGGCTCTGCCTGTGATAAGGCGTTAAGACAGGAAGGAAGTTGTTCAGAGTATCTCAGCAACACGACAAGCTCCTTCCTGCCTGAACAAGATTTGAAATGATGAACTTGTGTGTCTGTTTGTCAACCAGATGGTTAGGCAGGAGTGGGGGTGGAAGTGAGTCATAAGTCCTGTCTAAAACAATTATAAAACTACACTTAATCAACACATTTTATGTCAAACTAGATTATGGATAACTATTCAAATTATTAATGGCTTAACTTGGAAGGAAACAATGTTTCTTATTTCATTTGATTTCCCACTGTCAACTTAAGTGTGTCTTGCATGCAAACACTGGAAGAAAATACACTTTTGTATATTTTTGTAGCTGTGCTCCACTCTGCAGCACCAATAATAAAGCAGCATTCATTTAAAATGTGTGCAATACACACCAAAAATGATGTTAGAAACTATGCATTAAAAGAGACTTCTAAATATATTTTGAAAGTTGAATAGCTGAAGGTTTACTCTTCGTTGCTGCTGCTAACGCCCTTAAAAGTGCCACAGTAAAAGTTACACATGCAATAATTGCCTGTGTGTGAAAAAATTACACAACACTGTAAACACTGTGAGGGCTAAGGTCACCACTTTTCTTGCAAAAGTTGGCTTTTGGTCTGGTCAGGGGTAAAAATGTGTGGTTCTTTTTATCTGAGCTTGTCCTGATGAGCCGGCAGCATCTGGATGGATCTCATTAAAGGACCAAATGCCCCCGGCCTTCTGCGCCTGGGTGTTTATGGAGGGGGGACTGGACTAATGAGATCCAAAGCGAACACACTTCCTTCTGGGGATCACAAGCAGTGGTCACATGCAGTGAGAAATGAGAAGCAGAGACATGGTAAACTGGAAATGGCCGTTTAGGATCCCATTGGGCATATTTCAAACACACAATCCCAATTACCACGAGACGCAGATGTGATGGCAGGTTTGCGTGTCTGGCAAAAGCATCTGAAAATATTATGTTCAGACCTATCTATACAACTCATCAGTCATGTGGATAAACTGTTAAATAAACACTAATATTAATAGTTATTTTCTTAATCTTGTAAAATATGACAACAAACATTGAGAACGTCTGCCAAATGGAGATGTGGGAGCAGCTCATGCATTGAGCAAACTGGATTTAATGATAATCAATGATGGTCTGGTGTGGTGAATGAACGCAGATGAGGATCAGGGAAAGATAGAAGCTGCAGGGGAGTAGGCAGAGATCTATTGCTGAGCATGTACACATTTTATCCATCCAACTGCTTAACCCCTGGAGGGACACAGGGGAGGGGGGAAGGTTGGACCACCATACTCAACTAAATATCTGATCTGAAGGGGGATCCCCCTGGAGCTAGAAGGCTTGATTTCTTAGGATGAAGTCCTACAAAATGTATACAAAATGTGGCCCAATGTGAGACAGTGAATAGAAACGTTCATCTATTATTCATGCTTCTGTGTGGTTTTGCTTCATTATGTATGCATCGTATATAAGCATAGTCTGTGTATTAGAACTGGTTGGATTCCAGATTTAACTGACTTGTCCTATCCATGATAATGATGTGGATATGTAATGAAGAGTAGTGTTACAAAAGGAACATGGATGCTTTCAAAGTACTCTTGCTCTGCTACTGTGTAAGCTCTTACAAGTAAGTACAAGCTAGGCGATGCTTAACAAAATGCAAATGTTCACCGCTTGCCCTGCTACCACACACAGTATAGGAGAGTAGATAGGTGGTTATTTATGCAAATTACAATTATCTTTAAACACAGGAGAAGCTTTCTACTGTGAAACGAGCTTCAGCCGCTGCTGTCACACCAGGAGTCAAATTAATCTAACAGACTGTCATTTCACCGAGGGAATATTTGTGAGCTACTGTGAGAGATTGAAGCACAAGTAGGCAGCAGCTTACAGACTGCTGAAGGGCTTGACATTTGGGAGAAGTTGTTTAAGGTAGGCAGAAGTTATGCCTGGGGACAAAGCTGCTACAGCATGTCAGAGAATGTGCACTTCAAGTCCACACTTGTCAAACGGAGATGGTATCACAGGTACACACACACACACACACAACTCTGGTCACACTGGTACAATCAGTATTAGAGCCGTCTGTTGCTTTCCATAATTATATGGTAGCAAGATACAGTACATCATTAAAATACAGTACAAAAAACAACCAGGCAACAAGTGTGTTACCTGTTGGCATGAGGGAATGAGTGAGGTCATATTTGACTAAAACTAACAGAGCATGTGGTTTCTCTGTGTGTGTGTGTGTGTGTGTGTGTGTGTGTGTGTGTGTGTGTGTGTGTGTGTGTGTGTGTGTGTGTGTGTGTGTGTCTGCCTGTTGCTCCCCTCTGCTGGGGTCTGTATGATACTGCAACTTGTTTTGACTATTAATAGAGATTGTATCTGTAACATGTGAAACTAGGAAGGTGCACTGTGGTTAGATACACACAAATGAACACTCATGGCGCCATCAGGAGTTTCACCTGGGTCAAACCAGTGGGAGCCTCCAATAGGATAGGCTGCATGAGATAACAGAGTAAAATATGGAACATTGTAGATCTTGCATTTATCTTTAATTGTGGATTTTAAAGAGACCTATTACAGCCCTAAAGTCTATTCTCATCACCTTATTCCCTCACAGCGTATTGCTCTGTGGTGAATTGACTATCCAGCTGCGTGGCTTTGTCCTCCTTTTGGAACTATTTCTGTCTTGCCCTACAAAGACATAATTGTGCCTTTTGGGACAGAGAATAATAGAGTTGGGTCCTCAGTCTACAATGCCTTATTAGATCTGTGCACATAACAGTTAGTTTGTAATTATTGCAAATGTTATATTTTTTCTCAAACCCTTGTTGCATATTTGAAAGTTTAACTTTAAAAAAGCATACTGGCTTGTACAATTTAAAAGATTTCTAAAAATAAGGGTCCATCCTTCAAGTCATCATCCTATAACGTAGAATTATGATGATTCATTTGTATGGTCTAATAGTAATATTCATTTGTTAAAAAATAATTTCTGAATTTTGTTTAAATGTTTCTTTGCATTTGATATTGTACCTTTTGGTGGTAGTATTTGAAATGTCATTACAACATTCACATCCTTCGGATTGGCTCATTAAGATTGAATAGAGCATGCAATGCAATTTGTCCTTCAGTCATAGTTCGATAATACATTTCATTTGCTACTTTCATTTTTCAGCTCATGGTAACTTTGCAGGAGAGACTGTTATTCATTACTCAAATGATGAAATAAAATCAATTTTCAAACATAATTTGATAAGGATAACTTCTGTCATTTATGTCGTACAATGTTCACAACTGTGACAAATGACAAATGCCCCAAAACAGAACTTGTCATCCTCACACACCTACACACAGAGGTGCATGTTGACACCTTGCAAACGTCTACGTTAGTCGGGCCTGAAGTGTAGCATACCTGCGAGAGCCTTGATGCGTGAGCGCTCGAAGAGTCGTGCTGAACTGTTCTCATTATCCCAGTCAGTCTCAGCTGCCAGGTCCCAGCGGTTGTTGATGTCATTGTACTGCTGCTGGATCTCCAAGCTGTCAAAATCCGTCGGCGAGATGGTGCTCATGGTGTCCAGGCTGGAGGAAAACACATTCAACCTACGATTCAGACACAGAGACACAAATGCATCCAAGGTCAGTGTATACAGAGATGAGTGGACATTGTGTGAGATGAGAAGTTTCTGAGAATCAATTTCTATTTCATCCAAAGCAAGATGATGCAATGAAACATATATCACCCACACTCTGCTCAAAGCCTCACAGCTGCACTCAAGTTGTATGTGCTCAAATGAGAGTCATATGCAAATAACAGCTTAGACACTGCAACTGCCAGTGTGTCTTTGAGATAAGTTCAGCAGCTGTTATGAAGTTTTTCAGTAAACCAACCAATAATTGAATATATCAGCTCCTATAAGCTAAGGTAAAATCCCCAGACAATGGCTTGCCATAATATCGATATTATGTAAAGGTATCATCCAGCTGTGCTTTGGTTCACATGATGTACTGCTTGTGGCATAGATGTTCATCAATGTGCACGGCACATGTTGGATAAATAGAGTAGACTAGAGTATAATACTCTCAGATTCTTGCACTTTCATTTTCAGTCCCTGTCCTTGCACTCACTGCTAGCCATGCACGACCCTCCTATCCTGCTGTTTGTACTTACTCAGCATCAGGATTTAATAACAGGACCCTCATATGGCAACAATCGATATTTCATAAACACGGAGGTCAGTCCCACCCCTTTTCTCTTACGGCTTGAGTCTCTGTATTTTGATGACGTATACAATGCATCCCGTCCTTATTTTGTCCTCATAAAATGTCCTCAAAAGACACCCAATGGGTGGTCTACATTAAGATTAAACCCCCCATTAGTGACATCCATTAAATGTACTGGAGCCATTTGTTTAAGAGCATTGAGAGAGATTAATAGACAATGTTGTATAGTCTGTTTGCTAATACCTGTTAGTTTATCTTTTGTTGTGTCTAGTAGCTTTAGCTGACTTTTATGAGATGATGAGTGAGCCAGAGGATGGTGGTAGAAACATCTGGTGTTGGATTATGTTGTACTACAGTCAGAGCCTGAAAGGAAGACAACAACAAACAAGGTACTCTAGAGAGGAGATTAAGGTGCCGTTTACACGAGAACGCAAACGGTTGTATCCGCTACTTTTCTCTTTCGTATAGCCCGTTCGTTCACACGAGGCCAACGATAACGGGTCCCAAGGTGGATAGATCTGCAAACGGAACGCTCTGGGGGGCCAAACGGCTCAGTGTGTACGCCCTATACGATAATTTTCCTGATAACTACAGCTCACTGCTGCTACAGATGTTAGTGCAAAATCTACAGCTCCTCTACCACAACCATCAGCAACAAGTGGACATGGAGAATTACATGAACTACATGTTGCTAAATCCACCGCGGGGCATAAACAGAAGGGCAACCATGCTCGGGGGTCTTCTTCGATGCTTTTGGTGTATTTTGTGGTGCCACTTACAGGCCCGGCATATGTACTACAGCGTCTCCAGCGCTTTCGAGCGGTCTAATGCGGAAGTACAGCGCCACTTACAGGCCCGGCATATGTACTACAGCGTTTCCAGCGTTTCCAGCGGTCTCGTGTGAACGGAAGACTTTTTTGATATCGTATTTGGTTCGTTTTGCGTTTCGTATGCGTTTGCGTGTAAATGGGGTCTAAGTAGGCCAGCTCTTCAACACATTGCGCATTAATTAGGCTCTGTATTCATTCTCTGTCCTCTTCCAGGAGGTGTGATTGAAAGACACGATAACAGCTAAGGACAGAGATTGATCTGGTTGAATGTAGGACTGTTACTAATGTGTCTACTTGGACCATTCTTGGAACAATCATGTTGTGAAAGTCAATGCAATCACTAAATCAGACCTGGAAATCTATAACGGACAACTGCCAGAACCGATAGGCATCAGTACTGTACACTGCCTGTGTTGGGCCCATATACGGTAGAATGCCTTTCATCATTAAATGTAAAAATGCATAATAGATAGACAGGCAATCACGTAATTGAGCATAGTGTCGAACATGGTCATTTAGATACATTGGGCCATTTGGTTTAGTGCTCAGTATTTATTAACCAGTGATGCTGACATTTTGTGGATAACAAACACCGCTGAATCTGCAATACAGCTATGTGAAAATGAATTCACAGCCTACTACCCTAGACTTACATTTACAAACCTTGGCATTATATTCCTCCAACATCACTGATGGCTTTAGTTTTTATAAACGTCAGACCATGTGTGCTACAGCCACATCCTAAAGTAGGATACACCTTGTTATTGTTAAGAGAAGTCAAACAAGTGACAAACATTCAAGCTATAAAAAATAAAACAAAAAGCTTGGCAAATCCTATTAGAGGCAGATTAAGAAGTGGCTGTGAATAGAAACTAAATGCAGGGATTAGAGGAGAAGGCAGAGCAACGCCTCCTCACTACCCCCCAACCAGTCTCCTCCCCATTTACAGGCACCCCCAGGACTCGGGTAATGTCTTGACCCCCCGGAGTTGGCCTGTGTGTGTGTGTGTGTGTGTGTGTGTGTGTGTGTGGTCTGTTTGTGTGTGTGTGCAGTCAGTATGCTCATTCGTTTGAACCTCATTTATAATGTTGAATATTCTCTGAAATAAAATGATCACACAGTACGTCGGCAGACATACATTTTGACAACTCTCAGCCTTTTTTATCTTCTTCAACATCACCGTGTCAAACCATGAAACAAAAATTGTAAAACCCACAGGCAGGCCTTCACCATGCGCTAATGTGGTGTGGTAGGATTTACGTGCAGCTTAACTAACCAAAACGTCACGGCATGCAAGCAAGAGTCACAAAGAGGACACACTATCCAGGACAGACCTGGCAGTAAAGAAGTCCGTGACAATCTGTCCGTGGGAGTTGAGCGGGGTGGGGGCTGGACGGAGGCGGGACCAGCGAGGGCACAAGAGTCTGGCAGTGGCAAATCGAGGGCAATCCTCCCCTTATTGTCTGTAGGAAAAAAGGTCTCGGCTCAGTGTCTTCACTAATCGCCCCTTAATGGATCAGACAAACAATCCTGTGACCTACTATGATACGACCTACTGTAGTCATTGTTCTCCACACACACACGCACACGACAGGCATAAAACTACACATGCACACTGAGCTGACATATCAAACCCCCAACCATCACCACCAAACCTCACCCACACACACATGCCCACAGTGCTTCTAAAACACACACACACACACACACACACACACACACACACACACACACACACACACACACACACACACACACACACACACACACACACACACAACACACACACACACACACACACACACACACACACACACACACACACACACACACACACACACACACACACACACACACACACACACACACACACACACACACACACACACACAGAACACAAAGTGGGTCGGTTCAACGCCTACAATCACACTAGCCTGAGATACGTTGAAATACCTCGTAGAGAAGAACCGAATCAGAGACAGAAAAGAGCCCCTCAACTGTAACCTCGCTCTACAAAGCTAAACAGACATTAATTTTCCTCCGTACATGAACCCCAGAGCAACCATTATACTGCTCATATCAGGAGAAAAGACAGACAGTCAGTCAGACAGATGTGGCACAAAAGAGGGCGGGCATTTTGATGAAAGAAAATCCCCTTGTGGTTTAATCCACTAATAACAAAGACACACATTAATGTAATGAAAGATTTGGATATGGGACATATCTTTCATATGTAGATATGCCTTTGAAACAATTATTCTGATTACTTGAAATTAAAACCATCAAAAACTAATACAAATAAAATGAGTGCTGCTTTTACAATCAGTCTATTATCGCAATAACTGGTCAACTTTGCAGAGATGTGTGAACACCTAGAAAACATTTAAGTAAACTAAAAGGCAACATCTGCAATATTGTAATGAAATATCCTCAAGATGGGTTACAAAGCATGGCCTATATGTAGTCTAACCTTTTCAAATATTACACCACTACGCTTTCTTTGAACTCACACAGGAAAGCGGGACATGTACAATAAGTGTGTCTGTTCGGAAGAAAAGTGCTTCTCAAAAAAAGAAGAGTAAATGGGACACAAGGGAATGCCTCAAGCCAAGTAAACCCAGCTTCTGACTGGGCAGACACACATCAGACAATCGCTCAGAGCAGAGCGACACCGGTGAAGAAAGCAGGGCAGCCAGCAGCATGATGGGTACAGCCGCCAACTCTTTCTGTCTCACCCCCCCTCCTCCCCTCACAGAGCTGCTTCTCTTCACCCAGCTGGTCTGTTTGTCAGTGCACCCGTTAATCAGGGAGAGAGGAAAAAAAGAATCAGAGCTCACCATCGCCCGCAGGGAATTAGGCCTGTGCACATTAGCCAGCCACACGGCCACCATGCACCAGGGGAATAGGGGAGACACAAACACACACAACCACACCCTGTATGGCCAAACAAAGAAGCCATCACCCAATATCAAGCCTTACCAAAAGCCACAGCACTGGTATTCAAAATAGTAAAGATACGGCAAACATCTTCTATGCTGATTGGTCAGTGCATCCATAGTGTTGAATATTCATAACAATCAACACATTTAACTAGTATCATTGTTATAGATTGTGTAGGCTTCTCCATAGATCAACTTATTTATATTTTAACCGTTGTATGTCATACAATAGAGATAATGTTTCAATTTAAGAAGCCACAAACCAATCAAAAAAGACATTGTGCCAGTTAATGGCAAAAGATAGCCTGCACTGGGGGCTGACGTGTGGCAAATGTAATGCTTTGCAGAAGATGGTACAAGGAACAAGCTGTTGTTGTTTTGACACACGTCATTAGGGCTGCACGGTTTTGGGAAAAAATCTAATTGCGATTTTTCTGCCAGATATTGCGATTCGATATGCATTATTTGTTTTTAAGCGACCCAACGGAAGTTTATTGTAAAATGCGGCCATATCTCCGGCTAGGAAGGTCGCATCAACGTGCTCCCGTCTCTAGCACCCCCGCAGCCCGAGCTACGAGTGAAAGAACTAAACTTACATGAAACTTCCGTTGGGTTGCTTTAAAGTCGAGCTTCAGTTTAAGATTCAGCCTGTAATAGATGTAAAACATGTGATGGAGCATCACTAACCTGACTCAGGTGGTTCACCAAAGCATCTAGGAAAGCTCCATTGGAAGCCATTTGGAAAGGGCAGGCACTTTCAAAAATACTTGGCAGGTGATTGGATCAATCTGTCTATCACCTTCTATCATGGGCCACTTCTGATTGGTTAGTTAATGGCTGGTACATGTGGAGCACAGCACTTCTGATTGGTGTGGATGACTGACACACAAGATCGCAGGCTTTGAGATTTGATAATCGCATCATTTAAAATCGCGATCAGCCCTAATTCACACATGCAATACTCCGAACATAACCAGTTGTCCAAATAACAATCCAATGCAAATTTGATATTGATGTTCAATGTAAATCCCAATATAAACAATATCCATTTCTATTAGCTTTATGTAAACAAATGTAATGAGTTCAAGCTGAGGTGGCACCTCTGTGATGCCTGCACGTGACACTCAGACGGGCCTGGACGCTGGGGGAGTCAGATCCCAAAATGCTTCGCACAAAGCTTGCTCCGCCAAACTGGCCCCATACAATGTCAGCAGAGAGAAGAGGCCAGCCGGCGAGCCTTTCCTGTTTGCAGAGAGGAGGCAGCCAGAGGCATATATGCATCAGAGGCCCCTACACACAGCCTGCTGATCCCGGCCTGAATGCCCTGCTGAATAGGACAGCAGAGGGCCTTTGTTGACCTGTAGCATCACATTCATCAAACACTCAAGCGGTCAGCACGCCTTCCACGCACGGACATAGACATGTTACTTCAGTTTGGGACAATGGTACAAATTGAACCTCAAATAACACCATATTTAAATCAATCACAAGAAAACAACATTGGTGGCAAATGTACTCTTTTGTCACAAAGACAATACCATTCTCCTCAATATATATATGGTATCATATCATCGAGGTATTCCTGTAGCTACTATTCTATTGATAATAAAGGAGCATCTGATTTGTAAACAATGTTGGTCTTGCACCTTACATTCACGCTACACTACTTATCTTTGTCAACGAAAGGTACGAATGAATAAACAACATGAACAAGTAACAATACTTTACAGGGGAATTTTAAATACACGAGTCATGACTCATCTTTATAACCGTATTCCCATTGTGGCCATTTTAGTAACTGCTACAGTATGGGTCATAGCAAGAGAAAAGTAAAGGTTGCTGCTAGTCTTGCTTATCCTTCTCAATGAGTACAGTTCTGAGCCTTTGCTTTGATGTACATTGGGCTGGATGCAACAGTGGCTGCATCAATCTCGAGGGCAGCCAGAAATCCAAATAAAAAAAACATCAGTGAATTAAATATTCATGCAAATCCTGGTGGCTAATCCACTGTGGATTGATCTTTCCATTTTAAAACACACAGGACAAGAAGTGCAAGAGTAAGTGCTGTCAGCATGCCTATGGGTCTGATCTGTTTGTGTAATGAGGCTGATGCATTGTTGATAGACCTAACAATCAGTTGATCCCAACAAATAATCATGACCCAACATTAAAAGTGTTTATGTGTGGGAGTTTTGTTTTACTTGATGTCAGAGGTGCTTTCGTTTTTGTTCTGCATTCCTTTTTTAGAAATAAAAAAAAATGCAATATGAAAGAGTTTTAATGGTCTTAAGTGTCATATTGCCGGTGTTGCTGGTGTGTGTTACAGTTTATCAAATCCACACAATGACTACTTTAACAATTTGAAAGAATATGTTAATGTGGCTGCCAGTTCACAGTAGAATAAAACAGCAAATATTGGTTGAGACTAAGAGTAAATTAGCACCTGCCGCCTGCCAAATAGAGAGCACATGTTGGCTGTGACAGGTACAACATAAGTTAGTCTTGCAGCATTGAGTAGTAGTAGTAGTAGTAGTAGTAATAATAGTAGTTTGTAATGCTGTCAATCCCAAAAAAGCTAGGATTTACAAGCCGAACAATGATTGATATTTATTCCGTTTGGAGATAGTTGATTCCTTTTTTTGGTATCAAAATATTGAAAAACTGCCTTATGAATAAATCAGAATGTCAGATTTGCCTAGCATCGCTCAATATTAAATTGGCAGTGATATATTCGACTTTTAGATATCTGAGGGGGTGTGCAACATTGTGTGACCCTGTAAAGCAGCAGTGCAGCAACTGCTCAGAATCTCTGCCTCTGCACGAAACTGTATCTGCCCACACAAGAGGCACTGAATGCAACAAAACAAATGCCTTACAATGACCTCATGTTTAAAAATAGAAGAGATTAAATCCTCAGGGGCATACAGTAAATAGATTAACTAATTCATCAAATTTGAAAACCAAGCATGTTTGCAAAGGTTGTTTATGATGTCCAGCTACAGGCCGCTGTGATGTTGCCCTGTAACGCTCTCATTTCTTCTCCTGCTTTATATTTCTCACATTCTTAATCATAGTGGAAATAAGTGGACTGCCCTCTCACACTGTTCTGTGGGATTCACACACAATTCACTACAGTTATGATTATTATGAAAGAGGATGCACAAATAATTTAAAGCCGGGACAGAAAACGACATGCCAGTTATCTTTTACTATAAAATGTAAAAACTCTCAAAGCACTAAAACAAATGTTGATCTACTTTTCTAATTGGCTGCTGTTTAATTATAGATGCAAGATAATTTGCCATTTATATTAATGACACAGCTATCCAAAAGAAACTACATGCATTTTTTATGCAAATGACACAGTTGGTGAGGACAATCTTTCTGTTTATTTGGCCTCAATTAGTTTTAGATAAAACAAATCTTATGTCACACGAAATAAGCTCCAATTGTATGGGGTTACTTTTGATGATTGCCTCCGTTTGTCATAAAGGTGCGGTAATATTTATGCTGATGACCTACTTTTCAAAATACTGGGAAAAAAAATCTGTATTGTCTAGTGAGGGAAAACCTCAAATGTATCTTGAGAATGAACACTTTATAAATCTCATCTTGACAAACCGATCTGAATAGATCCAACATATCAAAATATTTGATAAACCCCACAGATTGTAGGATTTTCTGGGCACCTTGAATAGCAAATACTCTTAACCAAAAGCAGACTTTTTCTATTCTTCTAAAGCTTTGTGGATATTTTCCTGTTAAACCATTAACGCCTTCACAGTTAAGAATGGCGTGCCAATGCAAAGTGCCTTTTGAATGTTTATTTGATCGCATTTAAAGTCATCATTGTCCATCCTTGGCTTCGCAACACAGGGTGCACATGCCAACAACATCGTTTTCAGGGAGTTTAGATTTGACACAACTGCATGTAAAAGACTGAATGAATAAATGTTATAATCCTGTACTATTTTTGCACATCAGAGAGAAACACTAGTTTCACAAGGCGTATGCTGGGTTAGTGATATGGTTCACTGCAGCACAAAGAAAGTGTGAATGGCAGGAACTGAAAAAAAAAGCTTGTTCAAGAGGGATTTTGAGAATCAGCACTATGGGGGGCCCACATTCACAGCCCCATTCCTTTGTTGAATGCTGCTCATGTAGCCAGGCTGCTAACAGCCATATCTCATCCATCTATCATCACAACCCATCTGTCTCTCTGTCAAAAAGGCTCTTCAGTTATTCCAACCACGAACACAACAACAAGGCAACAATTATCAACAAACACTCTATATAGCGTAATAAAAAGTAAGCGGGTGCATCCATTTTGTTTGTTTTGGTACATGCTTTTCTCTGGGATCACTATGCAGCGTTAACTATATCAATAAGCGTTTTCTCATTATGTACAATAACAGAGAGAATGGCTACCAAAACAACAGACATCCTGCAAATAAGTGCTCATCTTCTGACGCTGCAATGGACACATCATTCAATGCTATGAAAGACACCTTTTAAAATCAACACTAAATATTCTTACAAATAATGCGTTTGATTATTGTCCAGCATGTATAATTAACATCAAAAACAATACTCAGTTCCATGGATGGCATCATGAGCTGCTAAAATTCATATATTTGATAAATCGGCAACCGCAAGTCTATAAAATACTATGAAATGGTTTTCTCCTCAGTCACAGGCAGATTAAGTGTGTGTGTGTGTGTGTGTGTGTGTGTGTGTGTGTGTGTGTGTGTGTGTGTGTGTGTGTGTGTGTGGTAGATTGTCTATACAAATCTGAGGAAGGCTCCTTGTTGTCAGAGGAACATTGGGTAAGCCATGAAAAAGACAAAGAAACATGTGTCTGATCAATTATTCCAAGAACACAGTGTGTTTTGATGCACAATTACACTGAATTATTTCCTCTTGGTTCCCTATTTGGAGTCGATTCATATCCCAGCAGGCCTCGGCGGCTAGTTTTCAGTCACAGCTCCTAAGGGACATAAATTATTAAATATACTGTATGGGGCTCGCTTTGACCGTCCACCTAATGCTGCCTGCAGACAATGCTCCATGAGCATCTCTCAGCAAGGTGAAGAGGAAGTCATCATGTCGCCCTCTGGTGGCTCCATTCAAGCCCAATTAAACCAGGCCTGGCTTCTCTTTGGGGAGTTGTGTGTATATTTTAGCAATGTCTTTTTAAAAAAATCCTTTATCGTTTGTCTTAAGAGCATTTGACTATTTTGATTTGACTTTAAATACATGTGTATATCCGATTAAAAAAAAAAACGGTCCAATAGAAATTGGTATCTACTACTAAATGACCTACTCTCATAATGAGAATATATATAAATGAATAAAGGCAATAGGTAACTCTGGAAATAATATGTAGTTTTCTGTTTATATTAGTCATGTCTTCAGAGTAAATCCTTTTAATGTATTTTCAATATCAATCTCCCTTGGTTTGAAAGTCTACTCTTCCATATAAAGCCGTTTCCTGACCATGGAAGAAAAGGAGATGTTATTGGAAGAAGGAGGAGGTATTTTAAAACGTGACTGAATCCCTGGCTTTTATCCCACAATCTAAATGAAAGCAATGCATTGCATTCATCAATGTGTAAATCAGTCACTGAATATGAAGCGGGCTAAAAGCATGAGATGCTCGTATTGAACCACTGACATCTGATAGTAAGGGCCATTGGAGAGGAAATAGGTTTAGGTCCAAAAAACAGATAAAGCCTTTAAAATGTCCTCCTACTAAACACCTAAACGTTTCATGACCCACTATTAGGTGTTATGGTCAAAAAGAGTAGTCGAATACTAGGTTTACATTTTTCACTGATAAAAGTCAGTCAACCCTTGTAAAAAGGGGCTTTTCACATTATGCCACTGCTCCATAACACCTGTAAAATGTGGTCCTACAGAACTTTAACTGTCTTTTTCAGATTTCTCCTATGCATTTCAGAAAAGGACCAAAACAAGTTGAGCATCATAGAATATAACCAAACATCACCTACCATTAATCATGTGATATCTGCCATCTATTGTATGCAAAACCCTCACATGTCAAACAGCTCATCCAGAATGGCACTTAAAATGTAATGCCATTAGTATGCACGCCCATGTGGTTTTCTTCTCTGTCACAATGACATGTGTTTCAATGGGCTGGGGTCTCTGGGCAATGAAACATGGTTCTACACGTGGTAGCCGGCAAATGTCAGCTCTCAATACCCACAACATTAGGATGGGGTCTTAAAACGCTTGATGGGGATGTAGCAAAAGTACACTCCTCAAAACAACGTGTTCACTGGCCTTAGTTTCAACGATGTTTTCATTGAAAGCAAACCTTTTTAAAAACACACGTTTACCTGATGCATCGCTGCCATGACTCACAGTATAGGCCGGGCACGCAGTATAATTCTCAGTCCTATCATAACATAAACCAGCCCACAATGTCGAAAGCAAAAACTGCAGCTTTACAAAACGCCAGCTCTACACCACACCATGGTGAGAAAGCGATAACCTGGCTAGCAGGCAGGCAACAAGGCTTGGTTGTTTTACCAGCAGATGTTGAATCAGAGATCCACAGGCTGGCTCTACAGATAAAATGTGGCTGCGTTTGACATCGGTTTAGACAAAGGCAAGACACACATTCAGAGGGATGGCTCTCAATAACTAACGTAGCGTTGCATTCAGAAAGCATACACTTCTCAACCAGGCAGCGATAAAACCAGAATTATAAATGAGTTAAATTGAGCCATCATCTCTTTCAGAGTTTCAAAAAATGGCTTTAGCTGAGATACAATAGCGTTGTGTGTGCAGCTAGTAGCCGTGGGAAGCTAACAGCAGTCACCTGAATATCACAGTCTGTCATTAGCTTTGTTATTAGTCGGTAGCCCGGTGGTGGATAATAAATATACACAATTAAAAATAAAGCTTACCTCTTATTTTGTCTTCTGTTGTCGATGTTGTTACTACCGCGTCACTGTGTGAGATATCTCAGCAGACATGTACAATATCTCGATGCGTGCGACTAAGCTCATTCAGAATGTAACGGTTTTTAACGGTTACAAATCCCAGGTAACACACATAACGTCTTTCCGTTAAATCCGCATCCTCGGAAACATATATTTTCCTCCGCGCGCTGCTACCCGGTGCAGCTTGTTACGAAACCAAAACCAGCATCTTTTTTATATCGCTTTCACAAAAAACGGTCAGTGGGGGAAGAGGAAAATCAGCGACTAGAGGAGCCCGTTGTGAGGCAGGTATGAGACGGATATCCGCAGCAGCTTCTCTCCCCGTGACTGAGCATCAGAAGGGCCGTCCGTTTCTCACTCAGTCCTGTTAAACAGGCAGAAGGGAAAACAAGTGGACGTGCTGGTGGTGGTAGTTAGGGGTGTGCGTGGGGGGTGGGCGTGGGTGTGTGTGGGTGGATGGGTGGGTGGGTGCTGACCCTTCACAGTCACATGAAAAACCCTATGCACATTTGTTTGTATTCTCACAATCACTGTGAGAAGAGGATGCTCTGCCCCATGTTCTGTATCTGGTGCTGTCCCTGGTGCTAAAACTAACACATTCACATTCAGTTGTGCATCTCGAGAGAGCCTTTTGCTTGCAATTAGTTAATTCAATGGACATGAGGACATTTTAGAAATGCATGCAGGGAAAAATTCTAGCTTACATTGAATGCATCACTCTCAATCCACATGGGGCTGCAGCTAGAGCCTACTGGTTGCTGCCCATTTTAGCATCTAATTTCTCACAGCTTCAAATGCATCAACTATCTCCTTATTACAGTAACTGGTGAGGGTTATCACTGTAAGATTGTGTCATCTCCTTAGATTTCATTAAAAACAGTAATCATCCCTGGTAGTTTATTAAAATACATGGTGTAGGCAGCCTACAGTATATCCTGCTCTAACCATGCATCATAGGCATACTTCAGAATTACATTATAGTAATCTATTGATACATCACCCCCATTTAAGCACTTGTTTCTGATTCAATTACTTTCTATAAATCAAAAACCCACAATCTTGATGTTTTAAAAAAACAAACGGTTTTCCATTCTCCATTGGTTTTTAGCAGAACTGCCGTTGCACTAAATTATTCCTGAGACACTATATGTAGCACCTGGTTGGTGTGTGACATCAAGCAAGTCATAGAGATCTGGGTTATTCATAAAGCCTTGAAGATCCTTGTGCAAGAGACCCTCAAGACCAAGATAAGTGTTTTCCTCTGTGATTTTTTCAGTGGCATGGTATAGCAATGTGAGGGGTGATTTCCCAGTGCTTGCAGTTAAGTTAAAAAATATGCAAACACATACAGAGGGCCTCATTCATGCTGGTGGTCTGTAGACGGGCACTAAGGAAGGCACCCACATTCCAACACCTAAATGATATTTGTGTATTTTTGTTCTCTGTCTGTCTCTTGATAGGGTGTGTATCTTTGAGCATGGGTGGTGCTGAACCAACAAAGTGGTAGTGGCAAGGGCTTTACGAGATGATGGGTCTCATGGAGAGGGCTGAGCAGTTTGGGAAAGGAGCACGATACTCATATGAGCAGTTAGTGGTAATGAAAATGCTCTGCTGTGTTGTTAGTGTGGTTCCACACTGTTTTGCTCGGAGTGTATTATTGTAGTTGAAGGTTTCCGTGTGGGCAGGATCATTTCAAATGTTATATCATAAAAAGTTGCTTTTAATTTAAACTATCAACACATTTGATTACATGTAGCACTGCGGAAAAATAAGTGTTGCATTATAAACAGCTCACTTAAAATAATTATTTCAGTGGAAGCTTGATAACATAAACTTAATACAACTAGAGACCGTCTTGCAATGGCATCAGACCAGCTACAATGCCAAATATGTTCAGGGGAATAAAGTTAGGGTCAATTGCCCCTTCACCTTAACCTGCCACCCCTATCTTGTGCCCTTGCTTGGATCCGACTCATCTGCAAAGACAACATTCATCTTGAACTCAACTATTCATCTGGGAAGTTTTGTGACACCAAATCCTGCCAAGAGGGTAAAGTCTGAGCATGTTTAAATCAAACCTTCAATTCATCTGAAAAGAACAAAAACTGCAATAGTTGTAACAGTTTGCAGATGCCATTAGTATAACAAATAAAGTGTAGGGCCCATTACCCAACTGTATACACTCAGATGCATTACCGGTATTGATGACCCATTTATACTGCCATTACAGTACGTCTTTTCTTTTACGGTCAGTTAGTTGGTCATTTTGGGATCTATTGCAAATCTGTTCTGTTCTTGTAAATTATTCATTGAAACATCAAATACTGTTAGTGATGTTAAACATAATTTAATTGCCAGAATGATTGTTCAAAAAATCCCCTTATTGCTGTTTATCATGTGAGCAATACAAGTTCATATTTTTGAAATAACATTACATTACATCTGGTATGGTAACACCTCTCATTGTAATATTGAAAAAAAAAACTCATTAAAATGATTGAAGGATAAAGTGTGTAAAATACACATGGCTGACTGCAAAGCTGTACAGTGTTTAAGGCTAAAAAGAAAGCCTCCAGGCCTTTAAAAATCACTTTGCGCTGTGCAGCCACACACAACCTGTTTACGCCCCCGGCCCCAGACCCCACCCCTGCTCACAGACCTTCACCCAGCAGAGAGCTCATCCACAATCCACCGTGACAAAGGGAAAGAGCTGAGTGCAGGATATAAGGCTGCCACTGGCTGCCAGAGTGTGTCCAGCACAGTGCTTTCTGCAGATTGCAGCAGTTTCAGCTAAACCCCCTCTCTGTCTGCTCACTATAGACGGGACCTGGGTGGGTGGGGTCATTATTAGTGTGTTCAGTGACCACCAGGGTGGAGTTGGGGGGCTTGTGTTTGGTAAAGTTGGTGTGACTGTATAGCTTCACAGCCGGGTGGACATGAACTCTATTATTTTTCCCCTCCAGCACAATGTGACTGATATTCCCAGCCTTAAATCTGAATCACATGAGACCAATCTTGGGGCAATGGAGGGGGTCTCCATGCTGATCCCAATAACTGTCTGAGGCACGGACGGACACAAACTGAAACAAGCATAATACACCATGACAACATACCTCCTGTGGCTTAATGTTGCAGCCCTAAAAGGTTTACTATACTTTAAAGATGTACTTATCACCACTAAGTAGATTGATTTATATCTGACTCCTGTTTCAAAGAGTATTTCCACCTTTAAATGGTGCTTTATTTGAATAGATGTGCTTCCTCCCTATATGGCTGTCCCGCTGGGTTTGTTTCCTTATAAGCAACACCTCCGATGCTCTGATAGCAATTCCTTCTCCAAATTTGACCAGGCATGGAAATATTTCCTTGTTAACACAACACATGTTTGGCTCATTGTTCAAATGGTTTGTAACACTGTATCTGCTCATACATCTGAAAATGCATGTTAGAAATTCCCTGTTTTATCAATTCTAGCTGCCCCTTTGTTGCAGGAATTTGTATCCCACAAAAAAACTACGAAAAAAAGGCTTCCCAAGCTGAAAGACAAAAGGAGGGGACATTAGTGGAGAAAAGCAACAAAATTACATAATTTACTAAATTCAACAACCCGCCTCATTTATTTACACACTTTGAATAAATCGACCATTGCAATGACAGAGAAATTCATGTCTGAACTGGACCTAAATGAAGTGACTACAAGACTCAATTGAAATTGTTAGATGTGAATTATCCTCATCTTGCAATGTAAAGTGTTTGTCCCTCAACTTTGAGCCACCTAAAGCTGTATTTGAGCAACAAAGAAGAAAGTTTGGTAGCTGCAGTCTGCAGCCACCGGTACCTAGTGGGTTATAGTTCGGTCAATGTGACCTACTAAAATATATTTATATCCTCCCAACCACCTTTTCGAGTCATCTCCAAAGGACACATATGCTATTTCTGTCCAGGTTCTTGCTCATCCTCCCTCTCTCTCTGTCCCTTTTCATATCTCTCTTTCTCCCTAAACTAGTTGCTGGAGGTCACCCTGCTGTTCCAGTTTGAAATTTAAATTATATAATAATTTGACGGAATGAAACCAGGACAGTGAGGAGCTGTGGTGCCATGGTGCAACGTGACTCTCTGAGCTCACAGGATAATCTATAAAGGGGGACAAATAGCTTTGTGAGTTATTGCACCCATTTCTGGGCGTGCAAATCAGCAGACAAGATGTTTCACATGCATGGAACATGGATCACATGTTCACAACCTGGTTTCATCTACATGTGTGTGGTAGTCAATCCACAACCTGCAGTAGCTCCAAGGGAATGAAACATATGCTCTCCTTATAATTTAAAATAATATTAATTAATAACTTTTTGCTTCTTTAACTGTAATGTTTATAACATCAGCCTGAGAGCTTGTTTCGGGAAAGCATTCAGATTCAGACCCATTTTGATTATTATGCCCAGAAGTATAAAATACTTTAATTTCAAAGAGGTTTATATCTTCATATTGAAACTGTGTTTGTTGGTTGTTTTTATCTTCTTTTGCCCATTGCACAATGCAGTTATTTAACACAGCATGGGGATAATGCCTTGTGACTTCATGACCTGTGTATATACATTATCTAAATAGTATTCAGTTTTTTACTTTGACCATGAGTAGATCTGGCAACAAGTCACCGTAGCTTTTGCTAGATCTACAAAAAGGAACTGCAGCAGTGTATATGTAATCTGTTAAAGCTGGGGGCTTAATTGATTGATAAAACATAGTTTCCTTTAGGTTGAAATAAAGAACAATTAGTAGTAATGATGCATGTATTATAATACAGGAGCAGTAGCATTCTGTATATTGACCAATATATTATCAATGAGATTTATCTGTGCACAAACCTCTGATATATAACCCTCATCATTCACAACCTGAACTGACTACACCATGGCACAGACATAATGACGGTGAGGACCCAGTTAGAGTGATGGAAAGCATATTCAGTAATGTACACATGTACAAGCAGCTCCCTCTAGTGGAGGATCACTTGTTGCCCCGCTTTTTATACATGGTCATACCTGTGTTTATGACATGTCAAATATAATGTGTGGAAACAAATATGATACAATCTACAAGAGGAGTACAGTTTCGCTTACATGTTGGTCAGAAAAGTCGATATAAAGAAATCTAAACCAATAAAATATGAAGTTTTTACATTTTAGGACAGATTTTTTGACACAGTTTTGAGTAGAAGGAATTGTAATTGAGCGCATCAGGTTTGTTTGTACTAGATAAATGGTCTGAGTTCACACCTCCAATGTCTCCATAAGAACAAGCTTGCTGGAAGCAATGTGCATCCTCCTCATTGACGTTTTCCCTCTAATCTCATGTATGCTCCAACGGGCTGCAAAAAGAGGCAATT